CCTGTGCTTGGCTTAACACCCTGCTGCCTATGACTTCAAATTCTTAATCATTTTTGAACAAAGAGCCTTGCATTTTCATTTTTCACTGGGCCGGGCAGATTACGTAGCTTGTGCCAACCTCAGTGTATCCCTGCCTCACGCCCTTGGCCTCCCTTGGCACTTATCTCTGTCAGGCACCACCATATTTCCAGTCGCTCAAAACCGTGGAGGCATCTTGACTTTCTTTCACTGCTCCTGGCCTCGCTGAGACCAAGTTGTCTATCAAAACCACATGTGGAATCCATATTCCTCCCTTCCCTTTCTAGTCCTGAGCACCCCCGGCTCAGTCCGTAAAGACCGCCGTCAGTTTCCTCTTCCGAGGTCTCTTTTTTTTTTTTTTTTTGAGACAGAGTCTTGCTCAGTCACCAGGTCACCAGGCTACCAGGCTGGAGTGCAGTGGCACGATGTTGGCTCACTGCAACCTCTGCCCCTGGGGTTCAAGCCATTCTCCCGCCTCAGTCTCCCAAGTAACTGGGATTACAGGCACATACCACCACACCCAGCTAATTTTTGTATTTTTAGTAAAGACGAGGTTTCGCCATGTTGGCCAGGATGGTCTCCATCTATTGACCTCATGATCCTCCTGCCTTGGCCTCCCAAAGTGCTGGTATTATAGGTGTGAGCCACCGCACCTGGCTTAGGTCTCTTCTTTAATCCATTTGGAGCAATACCCGCTTTGGCCTGGCCAGTGTCCATCACTAGGCCAAGGTCGGTCCACAAACGCAGTGACAATGTGGTCGTTACACCGGCTGCGCAGCCCAGCTGGGTATTTATCAGTAATATAGATTCATGGCCACTCCCAGACGGACCTACTGAATTGAAGCACTGAGGGTGAGGCCCAGCCATCTGGGTTTTCATAGGCCCTCCCAGTGATTCTGGAACTTACTGAGGTTTGAGAAGCATTGCTTTTCAATGGATACTGGCTGTCAGCCACTCCTGGCTCCCCAAGCCTCTGGACCCAATGTGGCTGCTCCTGGGACCCCTGCCCACTCCCTCATGCCCCTCTGGGGAGGTGGCCATCACTCCTCTGCCTATCAGGAAAGCTGATCAGTCCCATCTCCACATGGGCTGCAGTGGACTGACCAGTGCTGCTTAATTAAATAGGGAAAAGATCAGGTCAATGCCAGATAAGCAGGCAGGATTAAAACAGGCAGAAAGAATGGACAAGGGGGAGCTGTCAGCACCCTGGCCTGTCTGGAGTGATTATTAATAATGATAAGCAGGAGAATGGGAATAATAAAGGAATAATGAGCTGGTTCTGAAAGTGACAGGAGATGAAATCTGATAAAGAGCTGAGCCCTGGGTGCCTGCTGCCTGGGGCACAGCAGGAAACTGTGGGAGAGGCTCTGACCAGGCAGAGGAAAGGGCCCTCTTCTTTCAGGGAGGCCAAAGACCCAGGGGGCCTATTTAACCAGGGCATCAATGAACCTACATTCACTCTCTTTTCTCCAGAAGACCAGGGGCCTCTCAGTCCCAACAGGTACATGAAAATCACCTGTGTGCATCTGTGTTCAAAATGCAGATTCCCAGGCTCCACCCCAGAGATTCTAATTCCCCAGAGTGGAAGACAGGCATCTATCTGCCTTTCATAAGCTCCCCTTAGGGGATCTGGTGCAGGTGGTCTGTAAACTGCTTTGAGAAACACTGATCTCATGCCAGGGAGGGTATTCGACCTGGAACACAGGCGTATTTCATGTCCAGATCATTCAGAAAGTACATGTGGCAGCAGCTGCCAAAGGACAGACACTAGGAGGGTGGGGAGGGGTGAACCTGTGCCTCCTAGGCGAGCTCTACAAAGGAGGGCAAAAGTGCCACCTGCACGCAGGGAGGAGGCGTGCACTAGAACTGGCCTTGCTTGTCAAGCCCTGGTCACCTGGCACGGGCGCTGAGACGTGACCATTGCCATCTCCTTTGACCAGTGGTCACAAACTCAAAATGTCCACAGAAGCCGCAGGAAGAGGACAGGCAGACACTGGGGGAGCTGGAGAGGCAGACTAAGCCCTGTCCCAGGGTCTCCAGTCAATGCCGTGAGGGAAAGTAGGCTCGGCATTGGCAGAGCTTTCAATCTAGCAGAGGCCTTGTTTTTACTGTGAGCCAGCAGTCTGCAACCTCTCTGCCTTAGACAAAAGTTCTCGAATGGGGTAGGGCTTTGGGAAGACACTTATGTAAAATGTATAGGCTCAGGTAGGTCTTCGGTGCCCTAACCCAGTAGGTCGGGAGGCCCAGGAAACTGTGTGTTTAATAAGCCCTGTGGGTGCTTTGGATGCAGGTGGACCAGGGCCAAGTGGCTGCCTCTGAGAAACCATTCCTGGCAGGTGCTGCCATTTTGCCTGTAGACACAAGGGAAACACCTTAGCAGCCCACTTAAAGGTGGTCAGGAAGAAAACCTGATGTCCTCGGCGCAAGGTGGGTCTCCCTGGGTTCAGTACTCCCATTATGCCGAGTCAATGGGCAGAGCTTCCAAGGGGCAGAGCCACCCAGTGTTGACCATGGACATGTGTTCCTTACTGAGGGAGACCCCAGAGGAGGGATAGAGCTTTGCTACACGTCAAGTGAGGAAGAGGATCCAGCAGATCACTGACAGAAACACAAAACAGGGATGGACACTGTTCACCTCATCTGGTGCTATGAGGATGGAATGAGAAAGTCGTGGGCTTAAGCCTCAGTTTCTCTTCTCTCTAAAATGGGCGTGATTGCAGTACCCACCTCATGATTGAGAAGACTGAGTGGGATAATGTACAGAAAGCATTTTGCGCATTGCCTGGCAATTACTGTTATTATTGGAGGTCAGTAACATGAACAAAGACACAGCTAACGAGGGCACTGCGGGGACTTTACTCAGCCTTCACCACACGCAAAGCCATCTAGGTGAATAGCACCTAAACAGTGCCTGGCGACAGAACACTTCCAATACGCATTAAAAACAAATGTTCAAAGGGCCCTCAGGAGATACCAACCCTGATTTGCCCTGTAAATTCAAATTGACACCCCGCCCCAAACATAGACTAGCCTAGTTCTTCAAGCTGGGCCTTCTTGCTGTACCATGGTCCACTGCGTCCTCCCCAGAAGGCCTAACACCTCTGGCTCCCCCTCACCCCGCCCCCCGCCACCATTGCCCTGGAAAAACCATCCCAGAGAACGAGTGCTCCCTCTGCCATTTTCTTACCCAGCAGGTCATTAGGAAAGAGTCAAACAGCCGCATGTCCTTCCAGGGTGCTGAAAGGCTAGCTCTAAGCCTGCACAGCATACCAGCCTGGGGTCTCGGCTGAGGGCCACTGCCTGAGCGGGCACTGGAGGCCCCTGGGCCTGCTGACCTAGCTCTCAGGGGCTCAGGGGATGCTGCAGTCTGGCAGAAAGAATTTAGGAGGTGAACCAGTGCTGGGTTGAAGCAAGATCCCTGCCAGGCTGTCATGAGGAGGCAGGATCCCTGGTGGAAGAAGCAGGCTCAGTCTGAACGATCGTCCCTGGTGGGGGCTAACGAGGAAACTGTATTATGGATGGAGAATCTATGGTATCAGGTGCACCACTGAAAAGAACGAGGATAGCGGCACCAGCGGGAAAGTTCTGTAAGGTGTGCTGGTAAGAGGAAAAAGCAGGATGCAGGCCAGACTTGCAGAATGGCACCAATTACACAAAGCGCAGCTCTGGGTCTCGGTTTGTCCACCTATGTGTACATCAGAGCCCTGAATGATCTGGACGGGCTCACCCTGCTCACTTCTGGGGAGGGCTGTCTAATGGGTGGGGGCAGAGCAGAGCTAAATTGGATTTTTAATACATTCAAATAGATAGCTTTAAATTTAGTGAATATGCATTAATTGTTGAAATAAAGATGATTTTTAAAAAATAGGATTGTGTGACCTTTTAAAGAGGTATATATTTTTTAAAAGATCTTGCATCAAAAGTTCTTACATCCTCCAGGTCAAAAATATGATTGCAATTCAAAAGATGGCACATCCACTCTCTCAAGGCAACGCACTTTTTAAACAGCCCTGGGTCCTCAAGGTTCCTTGTGTCCTCCTTACTCTGAGCGCAACAAACCTTCACTTCCACAAGAATGTCAAAAACAGCTCCCAAATGCCGTGTTTTACTCCAAATTAGACCATCTGCTCTCTCCAATAGTCAAATCTGCTAGATTTTCCTTTCCAAATGTAATCATGGAAAACTGAAGATGAAATTGAAAGGCTAGCTGAGCCTGCATGGCGCCCTGGCCTGAGGTCTTGCCTGAGGGGCACTCCTTGAGGGGGCATTGGAGGCCCCTCTGCCTCCTGACCTAGCTCTCAGGGGGTTGGGGGATGCCACAAAATGCCAGAGACACTAGGGGACAAACAGGAGCTCCCCAGCTCACCCAACTGAGATGGTGAGGGCTGATGGGGGGAAAATCTTTTTAGTCTGATTCATTGGTGTATAATTCACATACAATAAAAATCATCCCTTTTTGGCTGTGCGTGAAAAAGTAATCCCAGTAGTTTGGGAGGCCAAGGTGGGTGGATCACTTGAGGCCAGGAGTTTGAGACCAGCCTGGCCAACATGTCGAAACCCCGTCTCTACTAAAAATACAAAAATTAGCCAGGTGTGGTCATGCACACACCTGTAATCTCAGCTATTTGGGAGGCTGAGGCAGGAGGAACCCAGAAGCTGGAGGTTGCAGTGAGCCGAGATCATGCCATTGCACTTCAGCCCAGGTAACAGAGCAAGACTCTGTCTCAACAAAAATAAACAAAAAGCATTGTTTTTTAAAGCATAAGGCTTGATGAGCTTTTCAAATACAACAAATGGACATATGACTGCCACCTAATCAAGATATGGAACATTTCTGCTCTCCAGTCCCTGACCCTCAGCAACTTCCTCTCCTGTTCCTTTGAAGTCAATTGCTGCCCTGCCCCACTCCCCCAGGTTGGTTAATTTCTATTCCCTAAAGAGCTAAATAATTTTTTCCTTCTTTGCTTATTTCTCCTACTAAGTGCCATCTCTCCCATCTACGTAGCCTCAATCTCCACCCAGAGAGGCACCTTCTTGTTCAACCTGTGTTCTACTGCCTTTGTCCTTAAAACTGCAAGACCACTTTGGAGGGCCTTGCGCCTTAGGGATGATGAGGAGCCGTCCTTCATCTCCTGTCAGACACCCACAAAACTTCACAAACCCCACAGTAGCCTCTGCTCTGCCATCAGAGAATGCCCCACCCCATTCTGCCATATCAGAGCGGCGGCTTTCTTCCCGGCGCCTGCCCCAGTGAGGTCTGGGGTGCAATTGCTTCTACATTTCTTCTCCCACATCCAGAGGTGACCCCCAGATCCTGAGAGGCAACAGGTGTCACTCTAGAAGGCAGGTACCTCCTGTCTCCTGGCAGGCCTGGTATGTCCCGATATCCCTTGTTCTCTGCCCATAAAGCACCAACAGAGGCTATCTGTGCCCTGCCTCAGCAAGAAGACACCAAGTTGGTTTCTACTCCTGCTGAAAGGAGACCCAAACTCTTACCGAGTGTCCCCGAGGGGCTTCCAGCTCCTCCTTTCCAGGCCTCCTCAGTTGGATTGGATTGCACATTGGCACTTACCTGAATGAGAGAGGGATTCACTACCTGGCCCGCCAGTGGGGATCCCCGACCTGAATCTCAGCCACACCCAGCCAAGCCACTGGGGTTCATGAGCCATCTGGCTTTGAAGGTGAGCCCGCTCCCTGTCCCCTTCCCAGGCCGTGTCCTCTCAGCCCTGGCCAGGAGTCACTGCCCCTGCAGTCTAGCTGGGCCACCACCAGCCCACAGTTTGGCTCAGCTGGGAAGCAGACACCAACACGGAGTTGGAAGTGCAGGAGATTGATGGAGGGTGATTCCTGGGAAAGATCAAGGGGGAGGGGCAGCAGGGGGAGCAGTAAAAGCCTTCAGGTGATGAGGGTGTGGGAAGTAGAAAAGTTCCTTTTTAAAGTTTCCTTTCTTGTTAAAGAATAAGTGTGTTAATAACTTTGTTAAGCCCTATCCTATGTAGCTGTTAGACATGCCATGGTTACAGGCACGTAGTACAGTCTATGTCCTTGAACTTTAAACAAGATACCTGTGCTGGATGTGCCCACAGGCATGTCCCAGCTCTCCATGGCTTTTACCTGTTTAGAAAAGTTTTAAGTTGTTAGTCAATTGGGTTTTAGTTTAGATGGTGAGGTCTGGCTCCAGCCAACGGAGATTAGACACAGCAGTCAGGACGACCCCAAACACATAAAAGATAAATTTGTGTGTTTTCCTTTGTTCATTGCGCTCTCGTGGCAAGATGGCTAGTGAGGGTACCCTTCCTGCAGTCCAGGAAGTAAAAATTGCATTGCTGAAAGATCCTTTGTCTCAGTGCTAATTTTTCTTTGTGGCATCGAGCATCTATTTCCAACACCTATTTCCAACACAGGGTCTGAGGCCTGAGAAAGGGGAGAGGGCAAGAAGGAGGACTGGAGGGCAAGTGTCTCAGACAGTAGCACAGGTCGGAGAAAGTTCCGGCCTCCCAGTGGGGAGCGAGGTGCAAAAATTGCAGCAGAAAGTCCTGTGCTGGTTGGAAACGGTGAGCCCTTGCGCCACCACCATGGTTAGTCACAGGCTGGGAAGCACATAGTCTCAGCCAGGACACTGAGGCAGAGCCTGAACATGCCACCACTGGAGGTCAGCCCCTAACCTCACTCCTTGCCACGTTCTCTCTTGAAGGCTGAGGTGATCCGAGGGGTGCCCCAGAGCGGCCTGTGTAGAGATGCTGCTGGCTGCTGGGTGGCCCCCGGGCCTCTTTATAATGCCTACACTGGTGGAGGCCAGAGAAGGAAGAAGGCAAACTTCCCACCTTTCCCTGTGACTGCTGAGCACAGAACAGACACCATCCATGTTGGGCACCTGGCAGAGGGTCCCGTTTCTGGCCCTGGAAATATCCTAGGACTCTGCTTCAACTCTTGTCAGATGTGTTCCAGACACAGAGTTAGGTAGATCAGAGAAGGAGAGCCTGTGCTCGGTAAACTGGACCTCCTCCACAGCTTTCGTGATGTGAGGTGAGATGGCAGGCAAGGGTCCTGGTTACTGACAAAGGATGCTGGCTTTCGTTAGTAAAGGCTCCAGGCTCAGGAACATGACTTTGGTTGGATAAGTGTCCTTGGGGGACAGAATCCTTACTAGCAAAATGAGAAGGTTGGGCAGGGGTCTTAAAGCCAATGCCTGCAGTGGCCCGGCAGGAATGTGTCCCCGGAAGTGGGTGGGCTGTGCAGGTCCTGCTCATTAAAAGCTGTTGTTTCTCTATCCAATCAACAGCTGCTGTAAGAGCCGCAGCTCCAGAGTGGCCAGATCCTCCCAATTTCTTTTTTTTTCTTTTTTTGGAGACAGAGTCTCGCTCTGTCACCCAGGCTGGAGTGCAGTGGCGAGATCTCAGCTCACTGCAACCTCTGCCTCCCAAGTTCAAGCAATTCTCCTGCCTCAGCCTCCCAAGTAGCTGGGACTACAGCCACGTGCCACCATACCCGGCTACTTTTTTGTATTTTTAGTAGAGACGGGGTTTCACTGTGTTAGCCAGGATGGTCTCTATCTCCTGACCTCATGATCCGCCCGCCTGGGCTTCCCAAAGTGCTGGGATTATAGGCGTGAGCCACCGGGCCTTGCTGATCCTCCCATGTTCTAAGAGAAGCTGGAAGCTGCAATTAATTTTCTAGATAGAAATAAGCAGCTGAACTTTGGGAGCATGCAGTTATTTTCCAAGAGAAGCCGGAAGTCTAAGCCTTTCAGTTTTAAATGTTGATAATTAACAAAACAATTAAAAACAGCGCATAAGCCAAACCCAACATATCCTGTGAGTCAATATCAGCCTATGGCCTCCAGTTTGTGACCTTGGGGTAGATGCCCACTCAGGTCCGGTCGGGGCCTAATGCCCTGTGATTTATGGTCAGGTATAACAAGTGACACTGCCTGCCCATTCGGTGTGATCAGAACTAGTCTTCATTGCGTGCTTACTTTCTGCCAGACACTTAACAGGCATCAGCTCATTTAATCATCATAGCAGCCTATGAGACAGGAATGATTTTCAACGTCACTCCACAGATGAGAAAACTGAGTCTCAAGGAGTTATGAGAGGGTGCCCAAGGTCGTACAGCTGCGATGTGGAAGAGCAGAGATGTGAACCTGGCATCATCCACATTCTTAGCCATCACGCCTACCCGCCTTGCTTCCTCTAGGTTGACCATCAACTTGCAAGGGACACTTCAGCACCACACAGCCCACAAAGCATCCAGGGGAATAGTGGAGCTGGTACTTAAGAGGAAGTTCCCAAATTCATTCTCCATTCAGGGCTGTAGCTCTCCCACTCCCTCCTGTGCTGTCCCTTGGGGTCACACCTCCCGTTTGCTGGCAGGACGTGAGGCCGCTGGGTGGAATCTACCACCATTTCAGGTCTGGAAGAGTTAGCATTTTGCAGCATTCTTTCTGGTCTTCTCCCAGCCCCTTCTCAGTCAGGTGTTTTCTTATGGGGAGCCCATGAAGGCGGATGCCCTCCCTCCTCCCTGAGGAAGCACTGTTTGCTACAGCTGCAGCAGCTGTTCCTGGGCAGGCTGGCCAGCCAGCGTTCGCTGGGAGCCAAGAGCCCCTGCAGCCCGGGAATTCTGGGCTAATGCTCAATCCTGGCATGGTCCTCTCTCTCACTGACCCCTTCAGTCCAGGTCACCACGACAGATGCTGGGAACATATGCCATGAATTAATTCACTCCGGCACAGCCACAGAGGAACAGCTTCTTCCTCGTTTCTCCTCCCACCACCCTTGCTTTCTGATTTCTACCTCGCCAAAAGAAAAATCAAATTTCTCCCCTTCCCTCGCTTCTAGCACCCCTCCACGGGCCCCCTCTTCATTATCCTGAGCACACTGCCAAAGGCTTTTGGCTCCTAGAGACTTCCTCACCCCCACATCCCAAGTAGGATCAAAGGGCCAAGAAGGAGCCCAGATGTCCCCCTTTCCAGCTTTTTGTCTCCAGATAGACTATGTCCCTGTTCCTGGAACTGACGAATGCTCATTTCCTTTTCTTAAAGAAACGTTGTCTTTAAGGGGCCAGAATCTCCCCACCCTTCCAGTCCTTCCTTATATTTAGCTCAAATCACTCCTGCTGCAGTGAATTTTCTGGATAGAGAAACAAGCGGCTCAACTTTGTGAGCATGCAGGTTTGTTATTTGTCATCTTCATTCTTTCCTCTAAGGAGGGGTTGGCAACATTTTTCTGCCAAGCGGCAGGTAGCTATTATTTTAGGCTTTGCAGGCCAGACGATCTCTGTCACAACTAAGCCATTGTAGCATAAAGGCAGCCACAGACAAATGAGCTTTTGTAAACAAATGAGCACGTAAGCAAATGAGCATGGCTACGTTCCAGTAGAACTTTATGAAAACAAGTGGCGAATGGAGGGTAGTTTCCCGCCCTTTGATCTAAGCAAATCAGTCCCCCACCTCTGTTATTTCTTGGTGGGTGAAGTATCCCTCCTTCTTCCCTCCCATCTGTATTTTGCAGCAGATCATATGGACTCCTTCACTCACACAGAAAGGTCCTATTTCTTTGCTGGCTTGTGAGTTTCTTGAGGTCAGGGGTGTGCCTTATTTGATTTTGAACTCCTGGAATAGGCATGCAGTTGGATAGAAATGCAATCAACACCCAGTCTTCGACTGGAAGAGCTTACAGGCTAGTGGGGAATACAGACAGGTGAAGTCTATGTCCTCAAAGCAGAGATAAACTCAATGGTGGGAAGAAGGCTGGGAGGGAGGAATCAGGAGAATGTGTCTCCCACAAACTCAAATAGTGTCCTTTGAAAAAATTAAGGACAGGAAACAAGAAAAAATGAAGTACTTACTTAACCCTGATACCCTAAAGAACTGAAAACATACAATAAATAAAGAAAACTGAAGCCTTGAAAAACAGTTTGGTAGTGTTTCTTAAAAATTAAATGTAAACATTCCATATGACCCAGCAATTTACTTCTTAGGAATCTAGCTAGGCAGAATGAAAATTGTGCGGCTGAGCGTGGTGGCTCATGCCTGCAATCCCAGAACTTTGTGAGGCCAAGGCAGGCAGATCACTTGAGCTCAGGAGTTTGAGACCAGCTTGGCCAACATGTTGAAACCCTGTCTCTACTAAAAACACAAAAATTTGCCTGGCGTAGTGTAGTCCCAGCTACTCAGGAGGCTGAAGTGGGAGAATTGCTAGACCCCTGGAGGCAAAGGTTGCAGTGAGCCGAGATCATACTCCAGCCTGGGTGACAGAGTGAGACTCTGTCACAAAGAAGAAAAAAAAAAGAAAACATCTGTGCACACAGAGACACGTACATGGAATGTTCACCGCAGCTTTATTCATAATACCCCAAATCAGAAACAACCCAAATGCCCATCAACAGACAAATGGTTAACCAAATGTGGTGTATATCCACACAATGGAATACCATTCAGCAGTCCGAAGAACTCCTGATAAATGCTATAGCACAGATGAACCTTGAAAACATGCAAATAAAAAGAGCCGAACTCCAAAGAGTATGCATTCTATGAGTCCATTTATAGACACGTCCAGAATCAGCAAATGTTGATGGGGCCGGGGAGCAGCTGCCCAGGGCTGGGGATGAGAGCGGGAATGAACTGTCCACGGACACGAGGGAATTCTGTAGGATGACATAAATGCTCTATAATGGGACCCATGCATTTCCTAAAATCACTGAATTGTACACCTTCAATTGTATACTTTTAATTTTTTGGCACACAAATTTTATCTAAATAAAGCTGTTACAAATAACAAAACCTGGTGCCAAGCCATCCTTCTATCCACGGCTGAGACGTGATTCATGAGAGGAGATGAAGGCAATACCCGCTGGCCGACTGCAGGTGCGATTGCCGTAAACTGTCACTTTTCCTATGTTAACTTTTTGATCTTAACCATTTCTAAAATAACAGCAGCTGGCTCTTAGTGGGTAGCACCATCCCAACAAGACAATACTAATATCATCCCATTTTTCCAGATTATCAAACAGGATCAGAAAGGGAAAGTAACTTGCTCCAGGGCCCACAGCTACATTCTGCCTCAACCCCATTCTGCCTGATTCTAGAAGCTATGCTCTTTGCCATTGTTATTTGCTCCTATTCCCTCTACCTGCCCCCTTCCCCACTGATCCTGTGACCTCAGGGAGAAGAGCATGGTGCTGCTTGGTCAAGCAAGGCAGAGTCTATGCTTCCCTATCTCTCTGCAGCCCACAGCACGTTGCACGCAAGTCTCCAGCAGCAGTAAGCCCAGAAGCGCCCTTAACTACTAAGCCGAAAGACCTTGATTTGTGCAAGTAGCACATTTTGGTCAAACAACACCGAACAGGTGGTGACATCGGTTTCCACCAGGAGCATGTAGTTACAAAAGCCCGTCTGAGTGTCCCGGGTTTTAGCAAAGATGAGCCACCAGTCAGGGATAGAGATGACGTAAGCTTCAGCAGCTGGCCTGCCGGATGAATTTCTGGCTTGAGCTCTTCACTGGGAGCTGAGTTCCCAGGGAGCACTCGAGCAGAGGCCCCCCCGCGGTGCCTTTCTTGCCTGTCTGCTGCGGTGGGCACACCCTTGCCTGGTGGGAGCTGGCCAAGGCCTCCCAACCTCTGGTCTCTGACAGACAGAGCCCATTGTTCTCCTCTCCTGCAATGTGGCATCAATAGTTCTGCCTCTTCCAGGGCAAGATATGAAGAGGCCATGCAGTAGTTTGAAAGTTTTCCACAGTCTGCCTGTCAAGCCCAAGGAAGCTTGAGAATGCTGTCAGCATAGGAGGGAGGGGTCCCCAGACACTCAGAGGCCTTTTCTGTGATAGGCCGAGCCTTGGGCATAGTGAACTGGAGAATCTTCTCTTTCCTTGACACACCCACCCCAGACACCTTGACTTCCAGCCACTCCTCCCACAGGTCAGGCCCACGCCTGCCTCCTGGTTTTTGCCAGTACTGTTCCTGCTACTGGGAGCACTGTTCCCTGGGCACCAGTCTTGCTCCTTCCTTCACCTTGTCAGGTGTGTACACAAATGCTCCCTCCTCAGGGAGGCCTCCCCTGCTCACCCTATTAAAAACCACAGTCCCCCACCCCAGCCCGTTTTCATTTTTTTCTATAGTACCTCTTACCACCTGCGACACTATCTATTTCACTCTCTTTGTCCATCTCCCCTTCCAGAATGTAAGCTCTACAAGGAAAGGGAGTTTCACCCGTCTAGTTCTGCATCTGGACTGCCCAGACCAGAGCCTGCACGAGGGCAGTGTCAAGCAGTTCTTTCATGAAGTAATGAACTTCCCCATCACAGCACAGCCTATGAGCAGCATCTCCGCAGTGACCACCCAGTGCCAAAGACACCAGGGGAGACTTTGTCAGAGCAGCTGGGCTACCCAAGCCTGCTCAGAGGTGACTTGAGTCAGTCTAAGAGAAACTGGTAAGGAACGGGTTAACAAGCCATGTACTAATAGAAATGGCAACACCAAGATTCTTCACTTCATGCCCCTCCATGCCTGCATAAAACCATATGGGTGCTACCTGTGGATGCTTGCTGATTGTCATGCCCTCTTGGGCCATCTTCCTGAAAGGCTCTCTGAAATCAAGTATATGACACCACTGGATATAACCTCACGAAGGTATTTTCCATGCGAGGTGAGAACTGGGTGGCCGTAGATTCTGCAACATCTCATTCCTCTGGCACGCTGATGACATGATGTGCAAATTCTGGGTAAAGGGAGAAGCCCAGACAGGACATGGCCAGGGCACAGGATGAGTGAAAGGAGACTCAGTCACATGTGGCCTGGACCTAATTTGTCTGAGCTTAGTTCGCTCAATGCAGAGCTGCTCCTACCCAGGTCCACTGCCGTGGGCCAAGACTCTTGAGCTCACCCATGTTGCCAGGCTTCACACCAGGGGATTGACAGAAGCCCTCTGCTCTGTGGTCACTCTGCAGACAAGACTTGGGGGGCGGGTGGCAGTGGACTTCTTTCTCCCAAAGAACCTGCAATTCTGTCTGCTGTAAACTAGACTACAGAAACACAGGTGTTAAAGCACTGTGGCATCAGAGCTTGGAATTCCAGCTCTGCCACTCAGTTGGATAATCTTGGGTGATCCCTTAACCTCTCTGAGCCTCAGTTTCCTCATCTGTAAAATGGGATAACCACAGTCTCTGCTTCACTGGGAGGCTGTGAGGCTGAAACTTGATAATTCCTATGTGCAGAGCCCAGCACCTGGCATGTAGTGAGAGCTCCATGTTAGATCTTCTTGCTGCTGTTGTTGTAAAATAAAGGGAGAAGGGAAGTCAGACCCTAGCCACTTGCTCAGGCTGGCTGAAGACCTCCAAGGTTATCAGAGTCCTGAGGCAGTTGATTTGCCAGTAATTAAGGGAACAGAAATGCAGCCTTTCTCCTTTGGGTTTCGGAATCATGTAGACTTAAGCAAAACTAGCCTGGATGGAAACTTTTCCACGGCCATGGGAATTATTCCAAAGAGGGGCTGCCTGGGCTAAAAGTGTGACTCTGGAAAGGAGGAAACGGGACCCTAAAGCCACTAAATCCCCGAGTTTATAATTAACAGACAAGCATTTGCTCTGCCTGTTCTGGAGCCATGTGGCTCGCCGGGGAAGGGCACCATAGTCACACAAAAATAACCCCCCAGTGGGTTTTTGATGTGTTGAGCCTCTTTGTTTTTCTGAATTTTAATGAAGGGCTTTCTAGGCACGATAAGAAGCACTCAGTGCTCCCCATGGCCGAGGAGTGGGCCTTAGTTAGCTGCTGCCAGCCTAACCCAAAGCTGCATGGGCCTAACCCAAAGCCTCCTCCAAAAGAAGCAGGCAGGGAAGGGGCTCTGTCCTCAGATGAGAGAATCTCAGGGAGGAAAAGAGAAAAACAAAAACAAAAGACATCTCAGTTTAGAAGAAGGGTGGGGCTCTGCTCCTGATCCCAGCACATCTTGGAAACAGGCGGTTATAATACTTGCAGCTGTGGAGAAGGCAGCCACGTATCTGAAAGGATGAGGAGGGAGGCCCAGGCTCTGTAAGAGAGGGCTTCCATGGAATTCCCAGGGCTGCTGGCTGGCCCCTTCCATGAGATTCAGAAACAAGGCTCTGGGAACCTGTAGTAGCTTTTGGAGCTCAAGGCATGGATTGCAGGAAGAGGGGAGAAAGGAGAACGTTGTCAGAACAGCCACCAAGCCCTGATGAAAATGAAGAATGGGTCTCCTTCTCCCTCCCGCCTCCTGCTCCCTCCGCTGCAGCTGCCTGGAAGCCTGTGATGCAGGTGGCAGTGCAGCGTCACTAAGGTCGCAAACAGAGGGCCCAGGGCACCACAGGAGGGGAGGCCCCACCCCAGAACCCTAGCAGGCAACTCTTTGAAACCTCCCGAGAAGTGGACAGCTTCCAGTAGGAGTGCCCACTCCTCCTCCTCCTGAAGCAAACTCTCCCACATGCTCCTCTACTGCGAGTTTCGAGTTCCTATCAGCTGACTTAAAAACTGTTCTCCTTCACTTGGCAATAAACTTTTCCAAGAAGAGACTGGAAAGAAAGGGAGGAGATGGCACAGGATAAAGCAATTTATTGCAATTGAATTATCCAATGTGGTTGACTGAATATAAATATTTTTATTACAAAATACTCTATGTAAAAATTTGGAGCTGCTTGCAAGCTTCTTTAGCTTTAAGCTCATTGCATTTTTTCATGTCTAGAGAGTGGGTGATGGGCTCAGGTGTGCCTGGGTTGCCCCGCAGGGTCCTCCTTCTCTGTTTGCAGTGGGTCCCACTCAGTGAGGACCTCTGAGGACACATCAGTGAACAGATGGTCCCAGTCCCAGCCGACGTCATCCTGCCAAGAAGAGTACCACTGGGTAAGACAAAGAAAGGCCTTTTCCCTCAACTGTAGCTGACTTCCCCCACCCATCCAGGCCTCAAGGAGGCACAGGTCAGCCTGGGAGTCACTGGTTATAGGAATGCCAAAGCAGAGAGGCCAGGGAACTGGTGCCGCCACTGTACCTCCCGGACTTCGTGCTCTGGCGCAAGCACTTTGGTGAGGAGTTTCAGGTCGATCTCCCCATCCTGCAAATGCAAACAAAAGAGGTCAGGCTAAGCACCTTGAGGGCTTTCAGGCAACTATTTCTTGCAAAATCACGATCAGTTTTTGTGTGTCAGAACTTCCCGAACTGAGACCTCCAGACATGCCTTCAAAGAGAGTAAAATTACGAATGAACCCCCTGGCCACTGGTAAATGAGGGAAGGCTATGCTTCCTACATGCTGGGTGTGCTTTGGGGCAAAGGACCATACTGGGAGGGCAGAGTGTGACAGCAGCATACCCACAGGGACAGAGGGGAGTGGGTGCCATCAGGTACCAAGTGGGCAGCCATGGAGGCAGGTGGGAGCCTGGCACTGAGAAACACTGGACTATGTTGGGTCCAGGCTTGCTGTGAGATGATCAAGGATAAAACCTCCAGCAGAGGTATGGGTGCTGGGCAGCCAGCCTCAGGGACTGCTGGAGATGCTGTATAGCTTCGGAGGAACTGAGAAATCTCTATGCCTGTTGCTTGTAGCCTGCCTCTCTATGCAGAAGCCGTTCCACTCACCAATGTCTGAATGGCTGAGTACTTCATGAGGTCATTGTCTAGGTCTCGGTATGTCATCACCCGCTTTACCTGGATGCTGAAGGAAAGAGAGAGCAAGAAGAGGGAACCCCAGGCACGACCTGTTCCAGGAGTGCTGCCGGGCCACCATCCCCAGAGCCTCGTACACAGCTGGGGATGACCAGAATGGGAATAACATGTCTTAACAAAACGGGAACCCTGGATGGAGCCCGACACCAGAAAGATCTGGATTTACACTGGGGGGTGGCAAAGGGCCACTGTAGATAATATTTGGAGTATATTAATTCACCTATTCTCTGCCTCCCTAATCATATCCGATTTAACCTACCTGGGAGGGGCTGCGACCTGCAAAACAAAGTCTTCTTCTTGTACTTCCTCCAGATCCGGAATGATAGGAATATCTGCAAGGAGAGGCAGAGGCAGCCCTGTCCGCAGAACTCATAGGGATTGCGCCTGCTTCTCCACTTCTTACTCACTCCTCTTCAACACACCAGCCATGAGGCTGTGGGCTGGGGCAGGAATTTAACTAGGGGTAGGATCAAAGGTGGAGCTTCAACGATGTCTGAATCCCAGCCTCACCCCAGAACCTGCTATAGTAGAACCTCCTGGGTCAGGCTCAGGCATCTGGATTTTTTTCCCAGGAGTTCCCTGGCGATTCTGATGCATGCAACAGGTCAGAAGCCACTGAAGTGGGTCTCCAAGGAGAAATGTAAAGAAATGAGACTCCCAGACAGCACGTGAGGAAGGTGTTGTTAGAAGAGAGGAAAGAAGAGGAACAAGTGAGCCTGGCATGGTCAGGGACAGAGGAACTGAGAGTGTGCTGTGTCACAAAGCGGATGTGCATTAGCCCCGGAGTGCAATCGTCATGGCCCTCAGCCTGCATCTGAAGGGCATCTTCCACCTAATGACACAGCCTGACTCCTCGGGATCCGGGTCTCCATTCAGTAGGTCTAATATAATTAGTGATGCTGATTCTATGATTGTGCTTTTCTTGCTGTCTCAAGATTTTCCATCTCTGAACTCTCCAGACAACATATGAAGAAACATGAGGCCATTTCTTTCATCAGTTCAACAAAATCATGCAAATAGAGAAACTGGGAAACCAGTCCATCCCTTAACTGTGGCAACTTGCCTAAGTGACCAAAAACTGTCCAAGTTCTCATGGGTCAACCTAACACCCTAAAGAAACATCTCCTCCTCCAAGTGAGTATCACGGACCGGTTGAAAGATTTTGTTTTAAACAGTCAGGGGTGAGGGAGAAGACAGAGATGGTACAAGAAAAAGGCCTGGTGGGGTGAGACAGTCCTGGATTTCCTAAGCCAACTGTAAACACAGAAAGAAGGAAAAATCCCACAGAGGGACAAGCAAAGACATCTTTCATTTCTGCTTTCACGGGTTGACTTCAATCTTAGTTTTAAAATCATTTCAAGAACAGCTGAGAGGAAGACCCTTGCCACTTTCAGGCAATTTCATGATTTAGACTTTTCGATCACTCTAGTCAAGCGACGCCAGAGGATGGAAATGTCAGTTCCGAGCCTGGTGTCTTTATTATGACTTCCGACTGTGGAGGCACAGATGTTGTACCCGGAAAAAGAGAGCATGGAAGGGAGAGACAGAGACAGAGAAAATTCAACAGAAAGAGATGGGCAGAGAGAACAAGGGATAAAAAGAGCGAAAGGGGATAAAAATAAAAAGGAGTTGCTGATAGGGAAAATCAAGAAGAGACACATCCACCACCCCCCAAATAATGAACCACATTCAGCAAGTCTTACACCTAGAAAGGAGCTGTTCAGAGCTTAGATTGTATCTCTGTCCTGCTAGAGAACTGGAGACTTGAATGCTCTAAGATTCTATTTCTTATGCTAATAGAAAGTTAGCTTGCTTTCTCCCTCCCGCTCTGCTCTGTGTGATTAATACAGTCCATTGTGCAGGCTGCTGAGAGTGTCGTTCCCAAGGCTGGTAAGGCTGCGCAGGCCCTGCGGAGGGCTGGGAGGAAGCTGGCTGAGCCGCGCTCCATCGGCAGTGTGACAGTTTTGGAGTGCGCCTGGCTCTCCTCGGGTGCAGAGTCCAGCCTGAGATGAATATTCAGAAGGTGGTAAGAAAATGCCCCATGCTGAGTTTGGGGCTCAGGACAGGGTCTTCCCGAACTCCCCTTTCCCTCCACAACTTTAGCATTTGGGTCCTGTCAACTCTGCCCAGCGTCTTGGGGCTCTGAGGAATTGCACTTCTGCCTGATGTCCACTCTCTCTCTCCACGGGCTTCCCTCTTCATCCCCAACCCCCTTCTCCAAATGTGCACAAAGAGTGTGGGGCTGGCCCATCTGTGACAGATCAGAGGTCAGCTCAGGCCTTGGCAAAGGGGCCGCTCAGAACGGCGCTGGTGGGGCTGGCCACACAGTGGGATTTCTCTCTAATTGGAAGCCTGGTGCCCAGGAGAACCCGGTGAACCGCCTGAGTGGGACAGAGCCAGCAATGACAGCCAGGCCAAGGCAAGCTGGAACATTCTTGTGCAGTGACAGCTTGAGCCATCGCAGCAGAGGCAGGCCATCCAACTCCAGCCCCCAGCAGAACAGGTGTCTACGGAGCAGTTTTTGGGCAAACTTCAAAGAACTTCACAATTTTACAGTTTCTGCAAGTGCTCATGAGCACATATGTTCTGCAGAACTTTATTTTCTCTTTATCTCTTTCCCTCCTCCCTGCTCCCCCACTCTCACATACACCATGAATGAACACAGAAAAAAGAAAACAGACTTAAGAAACCAGCTTCTTCACAAAATTACCTCTGAGGAGTGACCCGGTCTGCGTCCAGTAAGAGGCAGTGACTTGACTAGCAAAGGCGGAGGGGTAATGAGGCCTGCTTCGGGTTGTAAAGTTTGCCAGGCGAAGCACATGATTTTAACAGAGACAATACAAGGAAGACGGGAGTCACTCTGGTACTGTTGAAAAGCAACCACCGTTTTCAAAAATTTTTCTTCAATGTTGCTAATACCGAGAAGAACGTGAATGGCTGCAGTGAGGTCAGGAGCATGCTGTGTCAGCGGACTCCTGCTCCACGGTTAAGAGGCAGGTTCTGGAGGCAGGAGGGTCTGCTCCAAACCCAGGATCCACCACCTACTAGTTGTGTGACTTTTTCTCTCTATGCCTCAATTTCTTCATCAATAAAATGAAGGTTGGACTCACGCCCACCCATTCAGTTGCTGTAAGTATTAAATGCAATGATCTTTATAAAATACTAGCACTGTGATCAGTATAGAATATTCAATAACTATTCTTACAGACTTAACCGATATTCTAATATTACGTATGTAGAGGAACTATATGGCTCCACCTTCATTTTCAGCTGCCCAGTGATGGCCATTTTTCAGAAGAGAACACTGAGGCTAAGCAAGATTCAGCAGCTTGCATGGGGTGAAACTATGAATAATGGACTGAGCCAGGCTTCCCACTTCAATGTGGCAGCAATGCCTGAGCTCTGCCACACCCCACACGGGCTTCCTTCTCAAAAGTGAAACGCATTCAAAGACACCTCCTCCTACAGTGAAGGGGTGAGACAGCTGCCTATGCTCAAGGCAGCTTTCACTCAATGTCCTCTGAAACTTAATGTCCTCTCTTCTGGGGTCTTTCTCTTGATTCCAGTAACTACAAATCCGCTAAGTCCTCTCCCTTACTGTAAACCCCGACTCGCTACTTCCGTACAAGGCCAAATGGAGCAGAATAAAAAACATGTGCCACCAACCCTATCTTATTAAACCAGCCCCAAGGAGGAGGAGGCAGCCAGGCACCTTGAACAGCCCGAGAAGGTGAGGCTGTGACACCCCCGGCACCATGGGAGCTGGTATCCCCAGTTTTTGTCTCAGTTCCCCGGAAGGCAGTGCCACCCTCTCATGGCCATGCTGTTCTTCTTAAACAGAAGACTCCTTCTTGCCTTGTGCACTGCTCCCTGGCTCAGTGTTAGCTGTTTCATAGCTGTTCAACCTGTCTCTGCCCCGCGTGGTACCTGGTCAGCCACGCTGTGGGGAAACTCCATTTGTCTGCTTGTTAATTCATTCATTCATTCATTCATAGATTCATTCATTCATTCATAGACTCATTCATTCATCCATTCATCCATTCAAGGATACTGATGGAGCACCCACTATGTGAAAGGTACCATGCCAGTAACAACAGCAAGTAAAATAAACATGGTCCCTGTCTTCATGGGGCACCAGTCTGATAGAGGCTAATAAACACAAAGAAAGGCACTGCTTACAAATTAAAATACACACAAAGAAAGAAACCAACTGGATCTCATGACGGAAAGTAACAGGGAAACCTGATTAATTTTCCACAACAAAAGTAACATTATAGGTAGTAATAAATTCAAGTGCTATAGAAAGGCTTAGAATGAAAATGTCCCTTCCTTCTGTGAGACCCAGTCATCTCCCAATAGGTAATCACTGTTAACGACTTTTTCATATTTATTTACTGAAAAGAATTCACGAATAACACAGCATGTAAGTCCTTCGAAAGTGTTCACAAATGGGATCACACTACACAGACACTGTTCTGTACCTTGCTTGTATCTTTCCTTACATGTATTTTTACATACATGTATTTTTTCTTTTAAATGACCTTCTCATATTCTATTGAACACTGCTCCACAATGCGTTTAATCCAGTCCAGAGAGGATTTAATTTGGGCGTGTGGGATTAGAGTCAGCAGGGTTAGGATTGAGCAGTTAGAGGAGGAAGGTATTTCTGAACTGAGGACAGGGCAGCTGAAGCTGAAGGAGGAGCCGGATTCGGCCAGGCAGGAGAAAACATGTGCAAAGGTGCTTGGTGGTGAGAAGTAACTGGCCACACTGGAGAAACTGAAGACAGGACACTGTGGTTGCGCTATGCCAGACCCCTTCCAAGGCATGACGGGGGAAACCCAGAGGGACTAAGCAGGATAGAAAATGCACGTCCCCTCCTTAGTGGCGCACTTCTGGACCTAACAAAAAGAAATAAAAGCTTCCTACTTTATCCTTCCATAATACTTTATTCGTGGCCACAGGGTAGCCCTCACTACCTTGCAGGAGGTAGAGTACATGAAATTTGCTCCACGTCTGCCCCCTGGATGGTGAACTAGCTGAGAGCAAAGCCACACCCCAGGTACCTGTGCATTCCAAGGACTGGAAAAATTAGGAAAAAAGAACTGCAGTCACCACACACCCCTCAGATCAGGAAGTGACACACCCGGAAAAGCCACGTCAACCTTCTCTACATTATTCCAACTAGAATTGCTATTGAGTCCTGCTATTGCTGCCTGAGTAGGACTCATTTCACAAGAACAACCAAGAGTAATCCTTGGACACTTCCTGGCATTGATAACATCATAGAAAAGGCTTTGGCTTCCTTCAGAGCTGCAAGGCCCACTGAGAAAGGCTTGTGCATATCCAAGAAACAATGGATGCATGGAGACAAAGTTTCAGAGGAAGAGTCATTCAAATTTGGTCCATATGGCCCAACTGGCTTCCAAACCAGAGGCTGGGTCACACTGCTCTTCACCAACCTCCACATTCTGGAAGTACCCAACAGAGGCTTATTAATGCATAGCAACAGCAATGCAAACCTGTTTCAAAAAGAGAGATCGCCAAATGGGAAACTCATTTTGATACCAGAACACTGAAACCCAACACATCTGCTGAAACCCAACACATCTACCCAATAAATCACTCAGCAGATGATACCACAGAAATGAATGGGTGCTGCCTAAATACAAAGAAACGTATGGAACACCAATAGATCCATTACAACTGATTTCAAAGATGTGAGCTGTTAGATGTGAGGGCAACTGCCATTTGCCCTGAAACACATTCATTATGGATATCATCATCACATGTGCACACTAAAATGCTAATTACCTAGCGAAGTCCCAGAAGGATCCTTTTTAGCTCCCATGGCCTGACAGTCAAAAGCCTACCTGCCTCTTCCAATGAAGCCAGCCCCAAATCTCTGTGATGCGTTTTGAGATAGCATGTGTTCAGATCCAGCTGTTGTTTAACTGTTTGGGAACTGCTAGAACAGAAAGTGACTTCTTAGATTGAACTCAGCTTGCAATGAGTATACCCCAAGCACTATCCAGCTCGTCACCAGGAGTATAAATCTAACTCTGGCAGGAAGACGCAAACAAAGGAGGCACCCCAATCTGGCCCCTGGGTCCCGCCCCGGCAGAGATGTTTCAGGCAGGGTGCTTCTTTCTCTCTGTAAGCCTTTAGGTTCTACTCTGGGCTAATTTTCTTGGTTGGGGATTTCTGAATGGGACTCCCTGGTCATGTTCAGAAGGACTTCTATAGAACTACATCAAGTCTCTTCTGTACTCCAGCACTTTCTCACCTTGACATTTGAGCAAATGATACAAATGGTTGGCTTCGCTTTCCAGCTTCCTCAGGGTGCTTACTGATGACACCAGCCCTCTCACATCATTGTCACTGATGACAAGGAGAGTTCGAGAACTCCAGGTGCTTCCAAAGGCAAACGCCCTATTTGGTTACACACAATCTCTTCCCAAGCTTCTTTCCCACTCAGTGTCCTGGCCACTGGACAGCATTCACAGGCTGCTTAGGGCTCACATCTGCCATACATAGCCAAGTCAACAACCAATCCACATGAAAGGGATCTGGTCATGCTGCTTAAGGACACCCCAGTAAGGGCAGTCCAGACCCTAATTCTGTGCCCAAAGTCAACAGACATTCAGAGCTCTCAAGTGGAAGGAAACAATGTCCATGTTTTTAGGAGATGGCAACTTAAAACCAGAGATCATTATAATTTTTCTCTGCAGCTGCAAAACTTTGTTTTACTGAATGCTGTTACCTTCAGCATCACGTATGGGGAATTTTAAACAGGCAAATGGAAGAAGGTCTGATTGAAGATGAAGTTAAGTGAAAGAAATTGGTCTCATTTAGCACATGACAGGATTCATCTGTGTTCCCAAGTCCACTGAGGTGGCATCATGGGCGTTTCATATTCATGAGCTGCTGCGACACTATGTCCCCTCATTTACAAAGAGCCGTGTTCAGCAAATTCTGTCCCTGTGGACACTCCGTGCATTTCATGGTCTTGTCAGAGAGACATCAAACGCTCCAGTAACCAAATACCAGAAAATGGCTTTAATTAGTGGATCTCAATCGTATAAATAATTTTTTTTTCTAAGTGAAAAAATTGAGAATTTTTTAAAAGGGGAAAGAAAAGGGAAAGCAGGAGGCAACAGGCTTCAAACACCCGAAGGAACAAGGGAAAGAGGAAGTCTCAGAGGAGCTCCCGAGCGGTCCGCTGCATTCCTTGAATCAGGGGACAAGGGGCACAAACACGTCTCAGGTCTCTGGCAGGTCTGCTGTATGAAGACGTGTCCCTTGTGATTTCACCTGATTAGAGCCGGGTCCAGGGCTGTACTTGCTACTGGCAGGTAGGAGAAAAGAGTCTGAACATTGCAACAGTGGCTAAGGAGCCATGCTGCAAAAGCTGTGCAACAGGACTGACCGCACACCACATGCGTGTGGCCCTGCAGACATGGTGGGGTACGTGGTCAGGAGCCACGCACAAGCAGGTCCCCGAGGAGGCGTGCGATGGGGGAATAGGGAGAGGAGATCCTATTCTACAGTGCCGGTTTGGGGTGCCCATATGTTGAAACGCCTCTGTGCTCCTCCAAGGTGAATCTCTCCTGATGTTGCTAGGGAAAAAAGATCACAGACCTTAAGAGGATGAAGATCAAAAGAGTTGATTGCTCCTCACAGCTCCCCCAAGCTGTGGCAGCTCTCTTGGCTGACAATGGGGAGGGAGGTTTGGACTGAGTTGGGTTTCTGAGGTCAGCCAGGCCTCAGCACAGCTGGGATTTGCCTGGATCTTCCGCAGAGAAGGGAGTTTGTCGACCTGGCTCTGGAGACACTATAGCGTCTGAATGCTGGACCTCATTATGTTACCCACGGAGGGAGGTTAGCATGTTTCTGAAAGAGCCATGAGTATCACCCCCAAGAGAGCAATGTTGCTGTCATCCCACCCAGGTCTGCTGAAGGTTATGCAGGGATCAGTATTGGCAACACAAGGAAGCGGCAGCCAGGACTCAGCCTTGCAGGTCATTCAAAGGTCGGGTTCCTGAGAGACAGGCAGGGCCCAGAGAGGACTCTCCATAGGGAAGGGCCCATTCAGCCCAGCCGTCTCAAGTGACCTCATTCTGAAGAGGACTCCAGTGTCACCTGCCTGGGTGACCCTTAGGGAGCGTCACTCTGCTGGTCACTTTCAATTGAAGGAAACAGGACAACATCCTGCAGTGGCTCTCCCGGAGCCTCGTGGAGGTCCCAGCTTTTATCTGTGGAGATGTATTAAGGACAAGGAGGGGTAAAGGACTGTAAACGTGACGAAGAAATAAAGTGGCTGGAAGGAATGGAAGCCAAGGAACTCTCCACTCTCTTCAATAAGGCCCAAGACGGGTGATGTGGTATTAATGTGACAGAGAGCACCTTCTCAGAGACGCCCGTGGAAGAACATTAGAAAGCGGGCATATCTGATTCCATTTCATCCTCTTCATGTTACACTGAGAAAAACAAGACAAACTACACTGCTTTTATTCTAAATCCTTAGGTTTTGTATTTTTCCTTATATATATTTATTAAAAAAATGCTCCTTTGATCGGTGCCACCCATGACACCCCCACATACGGAACGCTTCTGAGCGGCTCCCTCTGCGCAAGGCCACTGCTGGTGACAGCCAGTTGGTTTTGATCACAGCCACTCGGAATCGAATTTTCATAAGACAGATGAGGAGTCTTACTGCTGCTCGCTCTCTTATCAGATGAGAAACGGGGGGGGAGGGGGAGAACGGGTCCTGAGGGAGCAGCGCAACAATCAAGGGCGGCAGGGCTCTTTCTCTGTCCCTCCGCTGCTGCAATTTTCAAAAGAGTTCGCCTCGAGCACTTTTAAATGATGGTGTCTCAATTCTGTAATCATCTTTCAAGAGCTTTCTCTTAAAGGGTCTTTTAGGTAAACCTAGTCTGTCAACCACACTTACAGACTCAGGAATCACATTCGTGTCCTCCTGCGTATGTATATAGACAAGTGCGCACACACGCTGGACATCTCTGAATGTTCAGAAGGCAGAGAGAACATACAGCACGGAAGGAAGCTGCGTCATTTGGCCATGAAGCTTGCCTCTTGCCAGGGTCAGAGGACTCCCTATTACCTCTTCCCCAGATTTCTGCCCTAGGTAGGTTTTGCTGCCTCAGGTCCTCCTTTAGAAACTTATCCTCATGTGTGATGTGTCAGAAGGAAAAGACTTCTCCAACCAAGGACTAAGTGATGTCCTAAGTCCAAACTGAGAGGCACAAACAAGCTTGTCCCTTCCCGTCTCACCTAGGGGACAGCTGGCTGCCAGCCTTCAAACTGAGAAATGAACCACAGCCTTCTATTTAGGAGAGCACAGACGTCGCCAGTCATCCAGGCCACAACCTGCTGTGTTCTGGGTTACAAAGACTATTTGGAGCACTCTACAACTCCACCTATCTTTTTTCATTGCAGAGAACATGGTGCCTTTTCTTTATAGAGTCCCCATCATTGGAAACAGACATCCTAGAATACTAAGCCTCTCTTTCTTTCTGCTCGGATAAAAATCAAAGCAGTCTAAGATCTCCCTGGGTAGTGATCCTCATCAATCTAAGGCCTCTCCGCTGCTCACATCCTCATTCACCTGCTCCTGTCACAACTGCGTGGAGGTGGAGAAGTGCTCATGCCTCTTCCTGAAAGCTGAAGCATTGCGTACAGTCACATCTGGGACAGTCTCACAAAACTAAATGGGATTGGCTTTGTCCTAGCCTGGTCCTGTCTTCTGTATTAAACGGGGACAGAATCCAAGGAGTTACAGCATATAAACTCTGATCTCTATAATGATTTCGGGGAGATTCAACTCTCTTTGACTTTCGTCACTGCTCAATGCTGGATAATTTGCTATTAATCACAGTCCTCCAAACAGACTACAGCACGACAGAATGCTGACAGGGCTTTCTCTGTGTTCCTGGAGGAAGGTTAATACAACCTGCTTCGTTTAAACGTGCATGCATGCCCATTACAAGACTTTCGTTTTCACTCTTCACATTCCACTTCTTCAGATGTGGACATGCAAGCAAGCTGCTCACGTAACAAGGAAAATGGAAGCCCAGAAAGGTTACTACTGTCAACCATGTTTTGAGCAGAGACGTGCGTGATGGTATGTTTGGGACATCTTGTGTAACCCAGACATTTCAGGACACAATTAGGGACTCTGGCCTTGCCCTGCCAATGCAACAGGATGTCTGGTCAAGACTCATGGCCCAGGTAGCACATTATGGAATTTCAGGTCTCACCAAACTCCCAAACTCTCCAATACCCACAATGCAATCTGTACAAGCCCAGTGAAACTCCTCACCCTAAAATAGGTTCTCCCCTCTGGAGGATTTAGCACAGGCACTCTTGAATTCATCACGTAAAAGCAATCACCATGGATTTGATGGAAAGAAGAGGGGAATGGTCAAACCTGAATCTTCTGCTTCATGTCATGAGAGCTTTAAAGACCTGGTCTCTTGTGCTTGTCTCTATCCAGCCCAGGCCCTGCTGTAGATAAGACTTGACAATAAGAGGAGCAACAGAACCGAGGACATGGCCAAGAAGTAAAGCTGAGAACCGGGATGGGGAGCAGATGTGCAACAGGCTGCTGGAAAACGGGTGGAGACAGGCCTCCTCCATAAGTAGGGCTGTGAGCAGAGGGGTTAGGAGTCACAAAGACCACGTCTGAGTCCCAGCGCCACCTATTCCTAGCCGTGGTATGCTGGAGCAGCTCCCACTGGCCCCAAAGAGCCACTTGCTAAATTTTTAGGAATTTTGCCTGCAGGTTGTCAAAAAGAAACATCATTTCAGGTGAAATTATACATTCTTATAATTAAGTAAATTATATTAAAAAGAAAGGGCCAGTGTGGTGGCTCACGCCTGTAATCCCAGCACTTTCAGAGGCCGAGGCAGGTGGATCATGAGGTCAGGAGTTCAAGACCAGCCCGGCCAACATGGTGAAACCCCTACTAAAAATACAAAAATTAGCTGGGCATGGTGGCAGGCACCTGCAGTCCCAGCTACTCAGGAGTCTGAGGCAGGAGAATTGCTTGAACCCAGGAGACGGAGGTTGCAGTGAGCCAAGATCACACCACTGCACTCCAGCCTGGGCAACAGAGCAAGACTCCACCCCCAAAAAGAGAAAAACAAAAGAAAAAAGAAAGCTAATCAATACTCAGAACTCACCACCACTTTCTGAAATTTACTCCATTTTGCTATTATCTGTGCTCTTGAGGCTATGTATGCCTATTTGTGTATCTGTATAGAGGAAGTAAACACGTGTGATGGTGCTGCTGCCCATCTCTTCCCACTTCTGGAATCAGTGATGTCATATTGGGAGCTTGAATCAATCATGGTGGAAGTATTTACACCACAGACTTGGCAAACACTACCAATCAGGACCTTTCCCCATACATAAAAGCACATCACTGCTTATCAGCCACGTGACCTCAGTGAGTTATTTAACTTCATAAGGTTTTCATTTCCTCCTCTGTAAGATGGTGATGATCACAGCATCTCCTTAGAACTGTGAGAATTAACTGAAGCATGGAAGGTAGAGCAGTTAGCATGACGGCTGGCTCACGGTAAGCACAAACATCAATTACCAATATCATTTCCTACCAGAATGACTTCTTTTTCAAATTTCTTACCCCATATCCTGTAAATAGACCAACATTAAAAAAAGCAGTGAGACAAAAGAGAGGGCAGCTTAGTCCTTGGACCAGTAAGCACCCATCCACCCGATCCCGGCCCCTGTTCCCGCTATGGATGTGGAGTTCCTACATGTGCATGTGTTAGGAAAGGTAGGGGAGGCTAAGAAAGACCCTAATGTCCAGTCCTAGTAACTTTGAACTTAGAAAACCAATTGATTTTAAGGAGTGTTATTTGATAAAACATCAGAAGTAGTGTGTTAGGCCATTCTTGCGCTGCTATAAAAAATGCTTGACGCTGGGTACTTTGTAAAGAAAAGGGGTTTAATTGGCTCATGGTTCTGCAGGTTGTATAGGAAACAGAGTGACCTCTGTTTCTGGGGGGCCTCAGGAAGCTTCCAATCATGGCGGAAAGTGAAGGGGGAGCGGAAAGTGAATGGAGAAAGCAGGAGCAAGGTTGGGGGAGGCACCACACGCTTAAACAACCTGAACTCACTCACTATCACGAGGACAGTGCCAAGGGGACGGTGCGAAACCATTCACGAGAAATCCAGCCCCAGACTCCAGTCCCCTCCCGCCAGGCCCCACCACCAATACTGGAGATTACAACTCAACTTGAGACTTGGGTGGGGACACATATCCAAATGATATCAAGTAGTTACAATGGTTTTTTAAAAATTAGGAAAGCCAAGGAACTAGGCTTAGGAAGCACCTATGAAGTCTCATGTGCTATATTAAGCCTAAGGAAGAAATGACAAAAAAATGAAATGTTCTTACTACGTGAGAGTGGAGTTGAGCCATCAGGGTTTTCCATTGATTAGTTTTAAAGAGTTCTTTCTACTTTCTGTCTATGGCAAAGCTGTTTAGGCTCAGAGTGACTCTGCTGTTTGAAGAAGGAGGGATGAAGGATATGGTGAAAGAATTAAGCAGAAAACGAGAGAGAGTCCAAAAGAGTTAGAAAGCCTGGAGACAGATGAGCAGGGAGAGGGAGAGACAGGGACGAGAGCGCGACAGTCCTCTACAGATAGCATTTTTCTAATTCCATTGACAGCCAAGCATCTCACATCTCTCCAGCCTCATTGCTTGGCTGTGTTCAGCCACTTTGACCTGTTTTCCCTGTTGACATGGATAGAAAATTGTTTCAGATCAACCAGCTTGCTGCACTCGCAGAATGAAGTTCTCCATCGCCCCTGGCTAGAAGTGGCTCAACCCAACTTGTCCTTTAGGAATTAAACACTTTTTGGTTGGCCAGAAGGATTTATTATTCCTAAGGTGTTGAGGTATTCAATTGTGAAAACTGGACCTCAGGATGCAAAGGAGGACAGCCCTCTCCAGTGGAGGTGAGGCATGCCTGCGTGCCCGAGAGCTGGCAGCTGCCAGGAGGAGGGAGCTACAATGCCACTCAGTCTTGGCTCTGCTAAAAGGCAAAGGTTAAACACAAGAAAGACTGAGTCCTTTTTTAGGCTCCTGTTTTCAGAGACTTTCCACTTTTTAAAGATATATTTTGGAGTTCATAAATTCTTTTGTAATTTGAGATCAACTTTTGAAAGTTGAGTCCATATCTAATTGCATATTCAGAGATTATTCCACCTGAACATTCTTCATCTTTTTAAAAAGATAATTTCTTTGCTTCTGTCTGTGTGCCTCTCAATGTCCATCTTCAGTCTCACCTTCTGTCCAGTTGACTTCCTGAGGATGGGGTTGTGGAGCTGGGAGAGACTAAGAAGGCCTGGGGAGGGTTAGAGGGGGACAGAGCTTTGCACTTGCTGTCTCCTCTCTGCTCCAGGAGTCTGCTCCCTGGCCCCTGACTTCATACCCGCCTTTTCAGACAACTCTACTCTTCCCTCAAGTTGGAGTTTAAAAGTCACTTCTCCAGAGTGGCCTTCCCTCATCCCCCAGTCCAAATCAGATCTCCAGTTCCTTGGTGCTGTCCTCAAGATGTGAGTTCTGGTTGTTTAAAAGTGTGTGGCACCTCCCCCTCCCTCTCTCTTGCTCCTGCTTTCCCCATGTGACCTGCCTGCTCCCCCTTTGCCTTCTGCCATGAGTGGAAGCTTCCTGAGGCCACCCCAGAAGCAGATGCTGCTGTGCTTCCCATACAGCCCGCAGAACCGTGAGCCAAATAAACCTCTTTTCTTTATAAATGACCCAGTCCCAGGTATTTCTCTCACAGCACCCTGTGCTCTCATCCTTCGGGGGCTCAGTCACAGTTTGTCCTTTCTTATTTTAATGCTGTGTAATTATTTGCTTAAGCCCTGTTTTCCCAACTAGACTGTAAACTGAATGAGGGCAAAGACAAGGAATGTTGGGATCATTGTCACGTCCCCATGCTTAGCCCCATGCATCACAATCACACTCAGCAATATTCAAGAAGGGGTGGTAAACGAACAAACATATAGATGAACTAATAACTTGCCCAAAGTCACCTGTAGAGACTGAGTTCAAGCCTACTCCATATCTGATGTTCCTTCTCTAACACCACACAACTTTCCATGACAGAAGACGTCTAAAGGCCTTCCGGCAAGCTGGAAACTTGACTCCAAGAGCAAGAAGAGATGATTAGGCCACTGAAGGATGGTCATCCCAATTTGGGGGCCATGAGGTCATTTGGGGCTCTGGCTGTCCATCATTCTCCAGCTATTCTCCAGGATCATGAATCCCATCTTCCCTGAAGCATTGTGTCAGCTATAGCTGTAGGTGATTCTACTTAGAATCAGCAAATTAGGTGAGTGGCATTCTTCATAACTTAATCAAAGGCAGTTTATGTGGGAAGGATGAGTATCTGTAGTTGGGAAAGGACCAGAATCAAGACCTTTCCCTGCAGAATCAGCTTCTCTTCCGAATAATGAATGAATTCCTTATTCATTCTCCATGTGGAGTCTCTTCTCATGCCAGGTACCTTTCTTTGAAAGGTCTTTTGCATTCTTCTCTAGCCAGCCAACTCTTATCCATCCTTCAGGACCCAGCACACAGTCTTCCTTTCTCCTGAAGTGCTCTCAGCCCTCAGGGATCAGTTCCTCTTCTGAACTCATGCCCATTAATAATGTAAACCACTAACACAGGACTGACCATTTGCTGCCTTTGCCATCCATTAAACTGTTGTCTTAGCTATGGAACTTTTGCAGTGCCTTTTACTTTTTATGCCTTGTCCCCCAGCAAAGTTCTGTGCTCCTTTAGAGCAGTGCCCCACAAGGTCTGGTGAAGGATTTGCAAATCAGTCCCTAAAGATCTAATCCAACTTGCAGATACATTTTGTTCTGTTTATAAAGTGTTTTTAAAAATTATTTCTTTCGAGACCAGCCTGACCAACATGGAGAAACCCTGTCTCTACTAAAAATGCAAAATTAGCCAGGAGTGGTGGCACATGCTTGTAATCACAGCTACTCGGGAGGCTGAGGCAGGAGAATCACTTGAACCTGGGAGGCAGAGTTTGTGGTGAGCAAAGATCGCACCATTGCACCCCAGTCTGAGCAACAAGAGCAAAACTCCAGCTCAAAAAAAAAAAATTATTTCTGTCATGGGGCCAGGCGCAGTGGCTTATGCCTGTAATCCCAGCACTTTGGGAGGCCGAGGTGCGCAGATCACAAGGTCAGGAGTTCGAGACCAGCCTGGCTAATATGTAAAACCCCGTCTCTAATGAAAGTACAAGAATTAGCTGGGTGTGGTGGCGGGGACCTGTAATCCCAGCTACTCGGGAGGCTGACGCTGGAGAATTGCTTGAACCCAGGAGGCAGAGGTTGCAGTGAGCCGAGATCGCACCATTGCACTCCAGCCTAGGTGACAGAGCGAGACTCCTATTCCAAAAAAAAAAAAAATATATTATTTCTGTCATTTTTAAAAACATGAATTCGAAAACTTTTAAGCTATGCCAGCCATCTCCTCTCTGGGTTCACCACGGGCCCCACCTTTCTTTATTGTCTTACACTTCTCTGTTTCACAGGTTTACATTATCTGCCTGGCTTCTAGAGGAGTCTGAGCTGGTAGCCTGGCTGTGGTCTTGCATATAGTCCCCACGTAGCACATTCTGGTTAAGCCACCTCTGATGTCACTCACTCTCCGTTTCTCATTCTGAAAACACACCTAATCTTCAAAGCTCCTTTTCTCTTCTTCTTCTTCTTTTTTTTTTTTTTGGCAACAGAGTCTCCCTCTATGTCCCCGGCTGGAGGGCAGTGGTGAGTGCAGTAGTACAACCTTGGCTCATTGCAACCTCTGCCTCCTGGGTTCAAGTTGAGGAGACATGTCTCTTTCTAT